GTCCTTTTTTTTTTTTTTTTTTTTTAAATGAATGGCCTGTTTGTTAATGAGAGGAATCAACGCATCTCAGCCATTGCTTTCGTGAGGCTCTTAGGACAGGAGTGCTTTTTTTGGACGGCAGGTGGTGAGGGTCAGAGGGTACCTCTTCCACAAAGGGATCTTGAGGACTCTGGCAGCCACATATCTAGAAGGTCAACAAAGGACTAAATTCAGCCTGACTGGGGCTGCTGCTGGTGTGATGACATCAAACCTGGCAGTACCATGATTTTTAGTGGAAAGGTTTTTAGACGCTTTTGAAGACTTTGGAGACGTAGTTCTGGCATTAATTAGTTGTGTGACTTTGGGGAAAAGTACGCTTCCTTGGCCTCAGTTTGCCCATCTGCAAAATGAGACAGAACTTCACTCCTAGCTGTTGACAGCCTAAGTTCTATGATTCTTTTCTCCATTAAGCAGTGGCCTAGGATGCAAAGATAAATAGTTACCTTTATCTGTTTAGAAATGCTTTTGGTGTTTGTGGGTGGAAAAAGGATACTAGTTTCTTCTCTGCTGAGGTCAGGTGGACTTGTTCATCTTTTCATCCTTGTTAATCTTTTGCTGCTACCTCTGTCTCTCCAGTAAAGTCTACCTGACCAGATCACCCTTGGGGATATGTGTAGATGATGATGGCACTTAGAACTGGTTGCTGCAGAGATATAGATGTTTGGGGGACTATGGACTGAGTCCCGTCACCTTTGCATTTTCTATTGTCCTGTGCTTAGCTCAAGCTCTGAACAGAGTCATGCTGAGGAATTCTTGAGCCTACCCTGGATTAGACTCCTCTACACTTTACTCCTAAGTCACTTTGTTATGTCATTTAAATAGTAACCTCTGGCCTACTGGGACGCCTAGTCTTTGATGACTCCAGTGTTCCATACCCTACCTATTCCATACCTCTTCCTGGGAAGCACAAATGTGTGGATTTTAAGAACTTGATGTAAGTCCTTAAAAAATTTTCATAACAGATGGTTGAAAACAGTTTTCTGTTTTCTGACTTGGTTGCAGCAATGACTAATGATAGTAAGTATGGTTAATATTACCTTACATCTATCTAGCACTTTACTGTTTATTTTAAGTCACTTTCACATACATTATTTTATTTAGGGTTATGATAGAACAGCTTGGACCTGGAGAAGGAGATGTTAAAATGCTTCCTGTGACTGTGTACTTCCAAAGGGGAGAGATTGAGTACAAAGAAATGCTTTGGCAGGTGAAATAGCTGAATTAGGCTATATTATGGCAGTAAATTCTATGGAGTTTAGAGGTCCTCATTAAGGAAGAGAGACATTAGCTGAAATAAAAGGGAGAGCTTAGTAGAAACATTTCTGATGTGTGTCTTGCAACAGGATGACTCAATTTTGACTTTATAGAAAGGCCTTGTTCCTCACATTCAGTGCAAGTTTGTCTATAACAAGGATAGTATTGCTTTAGGCCAGGAAATAGAAGAGTTGGAGGGAAGTTGGTTAGTCTCCCCATCTCCCACTTTACAGTCTATAAAGTATTTATTCCCAAAACCTCGTTACACAGACCCTCCTCTTAGCCATGTTGCCAGCTTTAGAAACATAAGGAAGGGCAGTTTTTGCACCCGTGTTCTGGTCTTGATTAATATTCCTGGTGTCAAGTTTCTCTTTGGGCTTGTCTGATTTCTTAAAGCCTGGGACTGTGGACCAATAGAGGTTTGTGTGATTGAAGCAGCATGATCTCACATCTAAACTCAAGCCGGAGATGTTTGAGGGTTCTCAGGATCAGCAAGCAGCACCATCGTTAATCTCCTTGCTGAAAATCAGTTACCAATTACATTGATAAGTATTTCTTCAAGCATGGCTAGTCCTCTTGTGCATATTGTTTTGGCAGGTGTGGGTGACAGGAAATGAGTTTACTGAGTGATTATGCTGTTTACCAAGAATCACCCAGCCAAGTTAGTGGCAGAGGTGGCTTAAGAGCTGAGCTGCCACGGTGGGAAGCAGAAAGATATTCTCATAGCTATTTAAGCCTCAAAACCTACAATTTCTCAGCAGAAGGGTTAAAATGCCAGACAATTGGACTGATTGTATCTGTAAAGACCAGTCTTCTTAAATTAGTAGCCCTTTATTTCCCTTGCGTACAGTTATATTGTCTCTGCTTTAGAAACTTAACAGAAAGATCCCATTTTGAATGTCTTGCCTAATTACCCAATTCCTGTTGGTTCTGCATGTGTCTGTGTCAACATCTCCTGATGGGACACTGAACTTAGTGAGGCATAATATATGACATTTAAACCTCGATTTCATATGTACATAAGGTGGGCTGGACCCAGGCTGGACATTTGGCAAATAATAATTGATGCTGTCATCCCCGTAGCCCCAAGTTACTAGTTTTTAGCCAGTAATACTGAACCCTATTCTTTTTTAGAGTTGCCATTTGCTATTTGTTTTTCTGTCTTCTTTATAATATATAAGAAGTCTGATTTCCACCAAATATGGCTTACCTGCTTTTGGTTCACCATTTGATTTTCTTACTTCCTCCCTCCTTGCTGTAAGTGTAAAATGGCACATACTCAAAACAGTCCTGAGCTTTTTGTGGCACCTTTTAGAACTAACTGAATATACTCCAGTGTGTTCCATTTGTTCTGTGATGGATT